GTGGGCTGTTGGTTTGTCATAGGTGGCTCATAAAGACCCTCTATAATGGTTGATACATTATGTTAACTTGAGAAGTTTAAAAATTGAAGTGAACTCAGCAGAGGCCCAGAGTGCTTACTTTATAAACATCCTCAGCCTGTGAAAGAGAGCCTAGAGATGGTGGGAGTGTAAAGGACCACGCCCACCCCAGGTGGATAGCCTGCATTCAATAAAAGGGAAATGAGGAAGGACTGATTGCTGGTTCTTTGGAGGAGCTCCAGTTTTCACCTTCAGTTTGGTCATAGTCTCCTAGCTTCTGGAGCAGACTGTTCAGCCTGGGACTCTTCAGCCTTCCAGCATAGATTCTTCAGCGTTCCATCACAGGACCCATTGGCTTCCTGACACAGACTTGCAGGGAACACTGCAGTGAGCTCCACACCTTGAACTGGACCCTTCAGCCTCCAGTGTGCACACAGCCTCTGCACGCTTCCTCATCCAACTCTGTGGCTGACCATCATAAGCCAATCTTGTAATTTCTTCTACATTTGTATATCTTGTGTTATTTCTATTTCTCTAGTAAAGTCTGATTGATACACCATCTATTCCAATTTTCTGTAAGATTTTAAGATGAGTGGGTGCTGGATTTTGTCAAAAGCTTTTTCTGCGTCTATTGAGATGATCATATGATCTTTATCCTTGGCTCTGTTAATACAGTGTATTACATTTATTGGTTTACATACATTGAGCCATCCCTGCATCCCTGGAATGAATCCAGCTTGGTCATGGTGTATAATCTTCTTGACTTTCTGCACTCTGTTTGCCAGTATCTTATTGAGGATCTTTGTATCTGTCTTCATTAGGGAGATTAGCCTGTAGTTCACTTTCTTAGTTGGGTCCTTCTCCTGTTTTGGTATCAGGGTAATGCTTGTTTCCAGGGATGAAGTTGGGAGTATTGCTTCCCTTTCAACTTCATTAAAGAGTTTAAGAAGGGGCTGGGGATTTAGCTCAGCGGCAAAAGCGCCTGCCTGGCAAGCGCAAGGTCGTGAGTTCGGTTCCCGGTACCGGAGAAAAAAACCAAAAAAAAAACAAAAACAAAGAGTTTAAGAAGTAATGGTGTTAGATCGTCTCTAAATTTCTTGTAGAATTCAGCAGTGAATCCATCAGGGTCTGGGGTTTTCTTTGTTGGTAGGTTTTAAATAACATCTTCAATTTCACTGATTAATACTGGCTTATTTAAGATTTTTATATCTTCTTGACTCAGCTTTAGTAATTCATATGTATCTAGGAATCTGTCCATTTCTTCTGCATTTCCCATCTTATTAGAATACAAGTTCTCAAAATAGGTATAATCTTCCGGATTTCTGCAGAGTCCATTGTGATTTCACCCTTTCTTTCCTAATTGCATGGAGTTGAGTCTTTTCTTTCCTTTTTTTCTTGATAAAGTTGTATAAGGGTTTAGAACTTGAAATGCTTCACTCCAAACTCTCGACTTGAAGGTTTGTGCTGAAAAGTCAGCTGTGATTCTGATAGCCTTTCCTTAGGTGATTTTGTTTGTTTTCCCTAACAGCTTTTAATATTCTTTTCTTGTGTTGAATTTCTGGAATCTTGACTATGACATGCCTGGCTGTAGTTTTTTTATCATGGTTAATAGGAATTATATAATACCTCACTTTTCTGTATGTCCAATTCTTTTTTCCTACCAGTGAAGTTTTCTGCCATGGTGTCTGTAAACAGGTCTTTTTTTATGTCATTTGTGCTATCTCCTGCTTTTTTATTAATTCCAATCAATCTTAAGTTATTCTTCTTTGCCTCATGTAGCAGCTGCTAGATTGATTTCTCATGGTACCTTGCCATTTTTAAGGAATCTTTCTTTTCATGATGATAATTGCAAGCCTGTGTTCTATATCTGAGATCCAGTCCTCACATTAGCTCCTTCTGCTGTGGATACTTTCAATGGAATTTTTATTCTCCTGGATAGCTGCTTGAATATGCCTTATGGATTCCATTTCTTTCCTATGCTGAGTACTCATGGCTTCCATAATTTTCTTAAGCTCCTATTATGCTGTGTGTCTAGATGTCCCCTCAAAGCCTCATGCAGTCATGGGGCAGGCTTCTAGAGTTTTTGGTTGATTCATGGTCCAGTGCTGGGATTATGGGTATGAGTGCTACAGCCACCCTGGGGAGAGTAGCCTACATACAGTATAAGGGAGTAAAAGAGGCTTGCTCCTGCTCCTCCCCCATTTGCTCTTGTTGCTTTTGTTGTCTTCCCCCACCATGAACTGTTGTCCCCGTGCCATGCCCCTCTGCCTTGAAGCCAGCTGAGTATGGACTGAAACCTCCACAAACTGTGAGCTAAATAAACCTTTCCTTCCTTAATTTTGGCATCAGGCATTTTTTCTCAACAATGAGAGAAAAGTAACCAAAACAGATCCTCTATTTTTTTTCTCTGTATCTGCTCTAGAGTCATTAAGCATGGTTTTCACTGTGGATACCATCTCTGCAGTTATCTGAGAAATTATTTCTGATTTGATTTTTTCATTCAATTGCTTTGGTGTTACCACTTTAGAGAGGCCAGGCTTTCGGACTGCCCCACTTCATTGCCCCTGGGTTTGCCATTGGTGAACTGGATGTCTGGGGTTGCATCTTGTTTAAGTGTCTTCTCATTTTCTTTTTTTAGTTTAATTCCTAAGGTGATGCTTGTAAATTGCCTGTAGTGGGTTGCTTTATTGCTAGTATTTAGAACCCTTAGGAAATGACTGCTTCTCCAAGGTATCTTCCCCAGGTGTAACTGGTTTTTGGGCTTTGAGTCTGTTGCAGGATCCGACATCCTCCATTTGTTGGGCATGAGAAGTTGCTGCCTGTTTGGCCCAGCCCCTGGTTCTTTGGCACTCTGCCACAGTATTTTCTGTGACCCTTAGTCAATCTCAGTCTTGGAATACCAGGAAAAATAGCTCTTTAGAACAATTATGTCACTTTTGGCTAAAGTGGTACCATCAGCAATAACAGTGGCAACAATCACAGCCGCCAGCTAGTGCAGTCCTTCACATCCACTGCTCATCTCCACTGCTGTGTCTCTCCGTGGAGGCCTCTGAGGTCACCAGCAGTCACCATATGTCTGCAGGTTTAAATGCTCCTCTTGTGCAGTGAGTCCCATCTCAGGGAGAAGGCACCGCTAGCTACTTCCTCCCTCTTCATTGAAGTTTCTCTCTTCACTCTGTCCATGGGCTTCAATTCGAGCCTCAGATCTTTCCTGGGTCCAGGGGACCCACTTCCCTCCCTCGTGTCTTCCTCACGTTGCTGTCGTCTGAATGGCAACACTCAGAGAGAACCTTTGCCTTCTACTTACCACTCTGCCATCTTGATGCCCCCAGGACTTCTATCTAGAACATATAAAGAATTGAAAAAGTCAGACCCCCCCCCCAGATTCAAACACCCAATCCTAAAATGGGCATCTGAGAGAAATACAAACTTCTCAGATGAAGAAATACAAATGGCAAATAAGTAAACCGCTCAAAAGGAAAGAACAACTGAGATGAAGGAAAGGAGAAAAGAAAGTGAGGGGAAAATGTATATATCAATATATAAATGTAAAAATATATAAATAAAAAATGTATATGTAAATATATAAATAAATATAAATAAATGTATATATAACATACACACACGATAGCTAAGATAATTGTACTACTAATTTCTATTAGTTTATTGAAAGGAATAGTTAGTGCTTATATTGCTTGATCCTTTTTTTATTATAAAGATAAAAATTGAAACATATTAACAGACACACAGACATAAAAAAAAACATAAAAATGAAAACAAGACAGAATTTCAGACAAGGTAATAGGAAACTAACAATTGTTGTTGTATTACATATTGGTATCCTCAAATTGGTTCCTCAGATAAACAAATATAGGCCTGTAGATTGATCTTTGATCAGTCTTACATGCCTATATCTGGTAATCTTAGCAACTACTCTGAAGATAACACTATGCACTACAATAACATTGTTAATTTCCTATCATCTTGTTTTGAAATTGTGTATCATTTTTATTTAATTCTGTTTAAAATTTTAAAAGTGAGAAAAAAAATGTTCAATATCATTGGGCATTCTGGAGATGCAAATTAAATGACGCTGAGATTCCATCTCACTCCAGAAAGAATGGCTATGAAGAAATCGGCCAATAACAAATGCTGGAGGAGCTGTGAGGAAAAAGGAGCCTTTCTCTGCTGTTGGTGGGAGTGCAGACTGGTGCAACCACTGTGGAAATCAGTGAGAAGTTTCCTCAAGAAGCTAGGACTAGAGGTCCCATTCCACCCAGCTATTCCCCTTCCAGGTATCTTCCCAGCAGAATTAAAAACATCATACCATAGCAATAAATGTGCACCCATGTTTACAGCAGCACAATTTGTAATAGCTAAATCTTGGAAACAACCCAAATGCCCATCAACAGGGGAATATGGTATTCTCCAATTGATATTAGCACAAACCTTCCTTTTCAATGAACTAAGAGACACTAATAGTATAGCTACCTTGCATTTTTCTCCCTTTTACCTTCTTTCCTTTCCCCTTTCACTTTTCCCTTTCCCCACTCCTAGTTCCTTTTTCCTTTTAAGCAATTACTTCCCATTTCACAATTATTATTGCACATTTTATCCACGTTTATCCTTCTTTATGACTGAGTAGTATTTAGTTGTATAGAAATACATCTTTTTTCCTGCTAATATCAATTGGAGAATTTTTATGCCCATATCTTGTACTCTAACTACCTTGAAGATGACACTGTACAGTGTATTAACTATTGTTATTCTATAATTTTGTCATGAAATTCAGTTTCACCTTTTTTTCAGTAAAAATAAAATAGATTCTCTTTACCTGCTCACTTACAAAATATTTTCCAACATGAATTTCTGATTCTTTGTTTCATGTTACAAAGAAGTGTGATTTACCCATATTCATCTTTGGACAAGATAAAACCTTTATTTACAAATATTCTATCCTGTAAAATGTACACAGAAAAGGATTTGGATAAAATATACTTTTTTAAAAAAACCACAGGAAATGAAGCCAGATTCTACTAAAATCGGAAGTGGTGATATCCAGGAAGTCAAAACCATTCAACAGCCATAAGAGGGCTAAGACAAATTTACTGAGTCACAACAGCCACATCACCTTTCCCTTGAGCATTCCATCTCCAGGGTTTTTGTTTCACAAGTTAATAACCAGCTCAGGCAAATCCATGCTATTCGTGGTCTTATTTCTACCCACCTCACATAACAGCGGAGCCATTCATTTAATAAATACAATGTCAGAGAGGTTACCTCCATCCATAAAATACATTAAGAAAACTGTTCCTCAGAAGGGGCTGGAAATTCTCTTTGATGAATAGCATCATACAGCATGGGAAGCACTGTCTAAATCCATGCACATCTTCTTGTAGGGTCTTACTTCAACTCAAGCCAAATGTTATTTCTTTCTGGGATCAAGTTGTTGATAGGTAGCATTAGGAATATAACAATCGGGAAGAAAAGTGAATACCAATTATTATACCTGAGGCCATTGCTAATAAGAAGTTTTAGTAGCTTTGTGATCTTGGCTGCAAATGCTATGTTAAGGTGACTTTTTCCTTTTTGTAAGTTTTTCCCTTTTGTAAGAAGAAGGTTGGATGATCAGTATCTTTCTGGAGAGCTTATAGTATAAAGTTGGCTGGTGTGAAGTGAATTCTGATGGGGAAGATTGCCCACAGGTAAAGCTTGAAGACTTCACACTCTTTCATCCTACCAGCTGTCTGTGCTTCTTGATTCTCTTTGGCCCACAGAGACCTCAAGGTTGCCATGGTGGGTGTCTCCCTGGAGGGACTGGGCCTGCTGGACTTTTCTCAGTTCCCTGCAATTGAAGGGGGAGAACATAGGTTACTTGTCCCCCAACCACAGACACTATTTACAATTTCAACTGAGATAGGTTTCTCTTTCACTTTTATGGGAACAATCCTGAGGTATATGTAGAATAGAAAATTCAGTTCCTATGATTATGTTTGCCATAAGAAAAAGATGACACACACATACCATTGCAACTGGTAGATTCCATTTCCCAGATTCTATTAACTGGGTCAAAGTGTTCTTTAAAGTTAGGTTAAGTGAACATACTCTTCATGCTTCCTATATGTATGAAGTTACAGATGTCAACAAACCACAGCCTCTGGGTCAAATCTGGGCTGCCACCTGATATTGTAAACGAAGTCTTATTGCAATACAGCTGCTCATTTAGGTAGATGGAATGATTCATAATCAGTGGCTGTTCTTACACCACAACAACAGAGTTGAATCATTACAGCCAGCAGTCACGTGGCCCACAAAGCATAAAATATGTATTATCTAACCATTTGTAAAGTAAGCTACCAACCCCTCAACAATTATTGGATGCCATCTTTCCCATCACTGACACTGACTGGTGATAGTTAATTAGATATCCAGAATTCGCTTCACAACTTACACACACTACACTTTCAGAGGTACTTACATTCTTGAGAAGAATATATTTAGATGAGCACTTAGTTTCTCATATGGAATGATGGAACTCAAAACTAGAGCAAAAAGTAAGTAGTCCTGCTTCCACTGGTGGGCCTGAGCTACAGGGATCATGATGCCATGAACCAGTGAGAGTATGTGAAGCAACCCTTTCTGGATTCTAAAAGACATCATTTCAACATGGGACAGCAAATTTCAGCTTAGCTGCAGCTGGTTATTAACAAGTTACCAGAAAAAATAGCAAATCACATCACATTGGTTAGAGAAAGTAGCTCTCTAACTTATGAAGAATTTCTTGGGAGAGTAGCTGAACTCAATGATGTAACTGCTAAAGTGGCTGCTAGACAGGAAAAATACGTCTTTCAGGTACAGCCTGGTTTTGGTTCCTCTACCTTTTGGAAAGTGGTTGCATGGGTGGTCTGTAGCAAGAAAAGCAGTGGCATTGTAGTAGCATCATGGATAATACATTTGTACCAGTTCATTCTGCTTTATAAAGACACCACAAGTAAAGCAGCAGGATTGTTGCCTCAGAGGTCTACCTCTGAAGAACCAATGAAAACTCATTTTCTGTAACATCTTGTCAGGCTAGCCTTGCGATGGGAAGGGTGAAGCAGCTGACTGAGGAGGAGTGTTGTGTCTGCATGGATAGACAAGATCACCTCATCCTGCCTTGTGCTCACAGCTTTTGCCAGAAGTTTATTGATAAATGGAATAATCAACATGAGAATGGCCCTAAAGATGAGTGGAACAAAAGAATCTTGGGTGGTACCAGATGCACCGCCAGAAGATGACATGGCTGACTATATTCTTAACATGGCAGATGAGGCAGGCCAGCCCCACAGACCATGACCTTGGGAGGAAGAGCTTTTTCTGTTATCATGGGCTTCAAATATATTGTGGTCATGGAGGAAGAATGGAAGTACCTTGTGGCACAGATACAGAATAATTCATTTTTCCCATTCTCTTATTTTTGCTATTCTGGTAATATGTTCCATTTTTAAACAAGCTTTCCATGTTTTCCACTCATAGTAAACAACAAAAAAAATTAAGTGGATTATTGAGCATAATTCCTGACTAAAGGCTGAAAATCTTTGCAATTTATTACCAGGAGAACAGTTTGGAGACTTAGCTTTCAAACTAATCTTTCCAAGACGGATATTGTATCCAAGAGAAAATGGATTTGTAAGTTTATTTCAAGAAAGGACCATTTTTTAAGAAAGGACCATTTTTTTTTATTTTCTATTGTATTTCTAGCAGATCACTTAAAATTTTCTTCAGAACGCTGCCAAACATCGCTGCCTGACCTCTACTCCAGCCTCATGCCATTAATCCACAATTTATTTAATGAATGAACTGATTAGTAAATGAACACCAGTCTACATGAAAGATTGACTTGCTCAGAAAAAATACTTTTTCTAAACACATACCAGGACAGTGTGTCTGCATGCCTATCCCTGAAACATAATGGATTTCTAAAATAGTCTGTACTTACCTAAGCTTTTCTTACATTAGGTGATCGCCATTATTTATTTAGATAAATAAATGCTGCTGACCCTCAGAACTCCAAGTTTTCTATACCAGTGGTATTTCGTTGTATTCCTCCCTCTTTCTTTATTTACATTACCTGGAATTTTCTCTCAAGCTTCCCACCCTCGTGCTACAAAGGGCTTCCCTGAGCCTATGTCTTGCAACACAGATTATGCATAAACTCAAATCTGTAGAGGCATGCCAAGCTGGCTTTACAGTTGTGAACAGTTTGTAACAGACTCTTTCTTGACTCCAATATCCAAGTCTACCTTTCCAGTGTGGCTATCTTAGACTTTTCCAAGTTTAGTTGCTGCTGGAGCTCCTCCATCGTCTTCACGGAGGGCCGGAGAACTTGACTTTTGACCAGAGCTGCTGCAGAAGGTCTCTCTCTTGGATCAGGGTGGATCATTCTCTGGTAATAGAGGGCCAAAAAGAAGGAAAGAGAAGCTTCAGTTTGGGGAAGCTCTTCCCGCTGAGATCAACTGCGGCCCAGCTTCTGCCAGTGGATTTTGTGAAACCCTGCTTCTCTTTAGGCAAGGGGAAGGGATAAGTGAAAAATTATCTCTAACTTGGACAGAAGGATCATCTATGTCTGGTAACATCAGTTATCCACACCTCTAACTTGTTGTTTTGTTGTTGTTTTTGTTTTGGGTTTTTTGTTTGTTTTGTCTTCTTGAGACAGAGTTTCACTATGCAGTTCAGGCTGGCCTTGAACTCACTTGGTAGCCCAGGCTGGCCCTGAACTCACAGCAGTCTTCCTGCCTCAGCCTCCCAAGTGCTGGGATTACAGGCATGTGCTACCACATCTGGCCTACATTTAATTTGTTTTTAAGTACTGTTGCATATTTTAGAGCTAGCTGGCCGACTAACTAGTCTGGTACCTTAATTTTAATGTGGAAAAACATGAGTCACTACATAAAAAGTGATTTGTCTAAATTATTGAAAGGGCCAAGCCCAAAGCCCAATTTACCTAACTCTTCATTCACCTTACTTTCTACTCTATCTTGCTCCTTTATCTCCTAATAATGACCCCCTATGAGACAGTATTTCTAAAGCATTTGTCTCAAGGTAGAGGATTCTATAACCTGATTTGAATATGGTAGAAATATGTAATTAGATGGATAGATAGATATCAACTAGCAGTGTCATATAATGAAGGAAACACTGAACCTTGCACTTGGGGACCAAGTTCAGAGCCAGATCTACCATTTACTTTGTAAATTTTGATGGAGATCCGATTCTCTTACCTGAGATTTGGGAGAATGGTATATTCTCCTTCTGGAACTACTGTGAGAATTAATGAACTAGCATACATGTACGGTATTACCTAGCAGAGTCAATATTTAGGTACTCAGTATCAACTATACAATGGTGCCTGAGGGTTCACAAGCTTAATTCTTTCCACAATTCTGGTTGTAAACTAAATTGGATGAGAACTGAATCAATTTCAGTGGTTAGGTTCAGTGTTTTTTTTTGTTTTGTTTTGTTTTGTTTTGTTTTTTGTTTGGTTTTTCTCCGGTACCAGGAACCGAACTCACGACCTTGCGCTTGCCAGGCAGGCACTTTTGTCGTTGAGCTAAATCCCCAGCCCCTAGGTTCAGTGTTGACCTCATGGGAAAATTTGATTCAGTTGTGGTCCAATTTGGTTTACAAATAGAATTGTGGAAAGAATTAAGTTCATAAACTGAGGACTGCTGTGTCTAAGAGTAGTTTACATATACAGATTAGACTGAATAAAAGACCATGGTATGGAAGGGTTTACCTCCTCCCAGGAAAGCAAAAGAAAGTCAGCACAGGCAGGTTCATAGTGGCGTTTAAAACTTTCAGGTAAACTAATCTCCAAAGGAGTAGGTAGGTATTTTACAGCCATTTTAGGCATCCTAACCAGTGTTGTTTCCGAATCAGTGAAGTAAGTCATATGTACATTTTGTTTTCCCAGTATGATTCTGGGCGTCTTGATAGTGTATGGTTTTCTTTTCATCTTTTTATTTCAACATAATATCCTCTTTTTGCTGTCCCTGTACATGCTCAGATATTATTAAGTAAAAGCAATACACAGATTTTTTTAATTGACATCATGCTTTTTTCCAATAGCTCAATAATTGGTGGTATTGTCAGTTATCAATAAAGTAGCTTATACTTTTTATAGACACTTGAAACTCTTTCCTTTGTTAATGTCATCATTCCACCTGGCAGTCATTAAAACCCTGAATTAGGAGGAAAAGACCAGGTATTACTTTGGAGTTAACCACTTTTTCACTCTAAGGTAGGCATGTGGCACATGCCTGTAATTCCAACTATTCAGGAGGCTGATACAGTAGGATCGCCCGGCATCTTAGCAAGATCCTGTCTCAAAAACCTGGGAACGTAGCTCATTGGTAGAGCAACTGTCTAGAATACACAAAGTTCCGAGTTCAATCTCCAATACCACCAAAAAATAAGTAGATAAATAAAAGTGTGAATATGAGTCAAATAGCTACTGTAAGCCTTGAGATTTTTGCCTCTGCACAATAAGATTCAACCTCCCTTTTTACAGGGTTATTAAGAAGAGTACATGAAAAATGTTCATAACTGGACTTTTAAACAATAGCATGAAGTATTTAATGACGTCTTTGCAGTTTCCCTGAGAAGTTTTCAATCTGTTCTCTATCTTGTCTGGACTTCTAGTCACATTTCCTTTTACCTCTGTTCACGGCATTGCCAACAGCTCTACTTTCCTTTTCCCCCTACTTGCCTTCGCATTTTTACAAATAGACATTTGATTTTCTGTTCATCTCATGAGCTATGTCACCTTGAGCAAATTGTGAAAATCTTCTGTGAGCTTCGGAGGAACGTCCGGAAAGTTCCCCTTACGGATCTCATGCCACCTTGCACCACAGGTGGGTAAAGTCTTTGCTCCTGCGGCCTCTGCAATCGTTAATCCTAGGGCAAATATATCAGCTTTGGGAAGGTGTCGATAATCCTGAAAATAGAAGAGAGGCCAGGTAATTTTCCAAGTGGAGCAAGTCAAGTAACTGGTCAAAGAGGTTCATCTGAGTACATGAAAGCTTTAAACGCCATGGACCAAATTATACCTACTACTGCTGATGTTTAAGAAGATAGAGGGAACATAAATGTATCTTATTAAACCTGCTATACCTGAAAAATCAGAGGTCAAATTTTAGTTCTACTTTGCTCTGTCAGACTCAAGGAGGCTTGGCACATGCATTAGTTGATCAAAGGAAGGAAACACTCATTTTTCTCCTAATTATCACCCAGGAAGAAGTTCTAGTTACATTCTTCCTAGGTCAGACCTGACAAACATCTTCGAAGATGGGGAATCACTAAAGGTCACTGTGGTGCCAGAGCTGCTGGTATGATCCAAAAGATAACAGCATGATAAAGATGGGTTAGACCTCTGTGACCACTAATGGGAGGCTTCCTTCAAAATAGGCAGCTCATGAGGTTAGGAATACTAAGAAACAGAAACAATGAAGGATCTATAGGGGAAAAAAAAGAAAAACCAGGATGAATATTGATACGTCCTTGACTGAGCCAGATTTCCCATGCTTTTTGGAAGAGTATCTCTCCTATATTTGGTCTCTGTTCTGAATTGGGAAAAAGATACTGCCGGGCATGGTGGCACACACCTGTAATCCCAGCACTTGGGAGGCTGAGGCAGGAGAATCGTTGTGAGTTTGAGACCAGCCTGGGCTACAAAGTGAGCTCAAGGCCAGCCTGAACTGCATAGCAAGACCCTGTCTCAAGAAGACCAAAATAAATAAATAGAAAAAAAGATACCGTACATTTACATTACAAATAGACAATTTTTTGCACTGTGAGCCTTCATTTTAGTGTATAAAAGTTCAGTAGGGTTATAGCCCCCTTAGTCAGGAGGCTAAGGCTGAGAAGGATCACAAGTTCAAAGCCAGCCTAGATAACATATAGCAAGACCTTGTTATAAATAAATTAATTTAAATAAATAAATACACGAAGTTCTCTATTTCCCTGTCTGTACCTCTTGCAAAATCTCATTAGCTAAGAAGCGAGTATCTCCTTCTTCCACTTGGGGTTTTCTTATTGACGTCACATGGCCCAGGTCACCTGAGAAAAGAAAATAAAAAGAAAAGAAACAGCTCCATAAAAGTATGTCTTTGTTGCAACCCGGAGTCATCAGTGTAAGTGTCACAGGATAAAAGCACACTAGTAAGGACAAAGAAGACTCACCAATTTTATACATTACACTGGCAGAGAGAAACCAATCGGCTTCATTTTCAACCTCGTCTGGGACTTCAAGAGAATCACTTTGCACGTTATGACAAATGAAGATGTTACCTGAAGAAAAAAGAATAGACACAAGTACTGATTCCTAAGCTTCTTCCTCAAAAGGTTTTTTTCTGGATGTTTCCTCCCTCCACTATTCTTCTGTGTCGTTTTAGCAAGACTGTGAAGCCTTTTATTCCCTATGAAATCTCTCGTGTTACATTGCAAGATCGAGTGATGAGTAATACCCACTCATGTATTTATGACCTCATAGATTCTCAATAGACTGGCGGCAGAGTACTGTTGTCTCAAAATAAAACACAGTAGTAACAACATGCTTAAGTTTCATACTGACAGGTGACTGATGCTGCATTAGAAGTGATAGATGCTGTCACTTTGATTAATGCTGAATTAGAAAATATACAGCATTAGTTAAGTGATCAAAACACTGCCACTTTACTGCCACTTATGTAGTAAGTTAAATATCTACTTTTATATTTTCCCCTTGCTATAAGGGAAAGTCTTTTCCTTCCTATTTACTGGCCCAAGGGGGAAATGGTTAAAGAAATATAACCAAAATTTTTCAGGAGAAACAAATCAAAGAGAGGGACCAGTGCACACCATCTTGGACACTTGGTAAACACACAGGCACAGATTTTGATGAAGATAAAATGTGGCAGGAGGAAGGGAAGGAACCATACTGACTAGGCTTGATGTCCAGGTGCACCATGCCAGAGCTGTGGATGTACTTAAGCCCCAAGGAAATTTGCAGAAGGATGTCTCTGAGTGTTGGCTCTTGGAAGTGATTACCAGACTTCATGTTTTCAGATACAGCAGCTTGCAAGCTTCCACCTGGGACAAAACAGAATAACCCCCTAGCATGAGCAAATGAGTGGGAATCTTGCAGGTGCAAGCATAGCAAATACTAAATAAATTTCTCATGACTGCATTCCCAAGTCTGGATTATTTTAGTGTCAGTGCAAAACATGAAACTGTCTGTCTTGTGTCTATACCGTATCTATGCTGGAAAGAAGAACTGCAGAACTTTTCGAGGAAAAGAAAATTCCAGTATCTTAGGGTATCCAACACATGGCTCTACAGCCTCAATTAGGTGCCAACTAACATTTTAAAACGTTTACTGAATTCTTGTACAGAAGGCCAGTTAAGCAACAATTAATCCCATGTCCATGTTAGACTAGAAGTTATAGGCCATTAGAATACAATAGGTTCTATATCCATTAAAAATATATCAAAAAATGAGAACATTTAATGATTTCCCACCCAAGAAAATGCTTAGCTCTATATATACTTGAATCCTATTTCACCCACGGTATTTGTACATCAGCTGTAGATTATATTATCCTTGTTGTCAATTAAAATATAAATCCTGGATTCACACACTACCTGCTCCTGGACACCCATCCTAAGGTATTAGATTACTTCCAAACACTGTTAGCATTCACCGGCAGGTTCTTCAAATTACAGTGTCCTGACTCCCATTGGTAGTTACAAAATTTATAACTACACATCACATATGTATCAGAATAATAGGAGCTGGGCATGGTGGCGCACGCCTGTAATCCCAGGACTCAGGAGACTGAGGCAGGAGGATCGCTGCAAGTTCAAGTCCAGGCTGGGCTGGGCTACACAGTGAGTTCAAGGCCACCTTGAACTACACAGTGAGACTCTGTCTCAAAAAAAAAGAAAAAGAATAATGGGGTCTGAGATGTTAATAAAATTTCTGAGGAAATCTGTACCTAAAATTATCCTTCATAAAACTGAATTTAAAGACTGATCTGTCATGCTAACATAGTTAAGCTCAGAAAGAATTACTCTGGACCTTTCAGAAACTCAGAGCACTAAAATAAGGAGTTCTAATTTTCTGAGCATTTTCTAAGGAAAGAATTTACACACTATAAATGACTTATTAAAGAGAAAGATTTTTTTGGATCTTGTTAAAAATTGTATTTGCCAGGCTGACTTCAAGCTCATGATGATCCTCCTGCCTCAGCCTCCTGAGTGCTGGGATTACAAGAGTGTGACACATGCCTGGCTGGATCTTGTTAAAAATGAAGTCCCTTCAAAACTAAGTTCGTAGGTGAGTTTATGAGGTGTCGACAGGAGGAAGAGTGCTACATGCATTAAGTGCTTGTTTCCCTGCCAGCCTGGGTGACCCTGCAGGGCGGGGACCACATCTGATTCACACTTCTTCTCCCAAGACCTGGCACATAATAAATATTTTGTGTCTTGAACGTTCATGCTGGCAACAGAGAGAAAAGAAAAATTAAGGATCCCTTAAAGGTAGAGAAAGAAAGCTGCCTCCTGGCGTACTTAGCAAGCCTTTACTGTGTTTTTACAGATAGAGGTGGAGATGTTTCTAATCCACTCAAGAGCTATAGTATGCAATAAGGACAACTGAACAGGTGCTAGCTCCACTTTTAAATACTCAGAAGCTCCACGTATAATTAGCTAAATAACAATGTTAGAAATTATTGAAAAGTACTCATCTCTGCTATAGCTAAAGGTGATCATCCACTACTAATAAAAGAGCACAATTAACTGCCTTTTATTAAATACTGTTAGTAAGGAAGTATTAACAGGCAGGGCGATTCTGAATCAACTCACACGGAGGCCTTCGCTCCATACCCCAAGGGAGCTCCCAGGGGTGACCTCTGTACCTACAAGCACTGTGCCCTAGAAGGAAATCCCCAGCTCCTGGGCAGCCCTTCTCAAACCACCTTTGTGAGACGGGCTGAGTTTCTTGCTTGAAGTAAAATAATGGTACTTTACCCTCTTAGTAAAAAGTTTAAAAAAAAAAAAAAAAAAAAAAACCTTTAAATAGACATTTATGTTTTCCTCTCTGCTGCTAGAGCCTAACATACCAAAACAGAGCAAATGAAACCAGCCAGGGCTACATAGTGAGTTCAAGGTCAGCCTAGACTTACCTAGCCTGTAATGCTTAGCTCTATATATACTTGAATCTCACTCTATGTATACTTGAGATTCTATTCAAAAAAGCAAATTATTTCCAACAATAACATAAAAAAGAGATTGAGAATTCAACAGGAAAAAAAAAGAATTTAATAGAAATATTTGGTTTACAAATTTGTATTTTTGCAATCTTCATTTTATGTTACTATCTATAGCAAGCATATTTTTCTGCAGTACAGTTGTGCCTTGTTTGATGGAAAAATACAACCAATATTTATGGTGTTCCACAGAGAACACTGGCTTGGATGGCACATTATTCAAACAAGTGGGAGAAACATTATTCTAGAACACCAAACTTTGGGACATTTCACTGATATATGCTGCAAGAAAATACTGCCTTTAAAGAGAGATTAATAGTCTAATCCTGAATCAGTCAGAATCCTGGGGTTTGTAGAAATCAGTTTACTACTGGAGACCTGTTAGATTTCTGAGGATGTCCTAGAAGTGACTTACAGAGGAGCTTGGCAAGGGTAGGGAGAAGGAGGGAACACTTAATTGGTTTAGGGCTCAGGAGCAGATAGTAAGGGAAATTAGATAACTAGTATCTTCTAAATTAGCCATCTAATATATGTCATCTATAATTTAGCTAATATTAGTCATCTATAGTATCATATAAATTAGTCATCTAATTTATAATCTAAGTTATCTAGATCATCCAACCTAAATTAAAACTACAAGTGTACATGTTCCGGCCTAACTGCTATGATACGCTGGGGGAAAGAATAGGCAACAGGGAAGTAGAACATGAGAAAGAAGTAGGAAGGAAGGCAGAGGGTGTAGGGAAGAAGAGAGCAGAAAGAATGAACAATGGAAAAGCACAAAGGATGTGGATTATATTTTTGCAAAATCAAAGTTACACTTCAATTGGCAAGTCCTCAATGAAGTTAGCGGGCTACCATGATGAAGAAATAATTCCCTAGAATCATCCACATCCAATTTGAAATCCACTGCTGGGCTTTCCAGGCCCTCTCTACTCTCCCCATCTACTACCTTGATCAGATTCCTGACTACAGGGTCTCTCCAGTCATGTGAAATTCCTGCTCTCTGGGAGAGCAGAGGCACCCCCAGTGCCACGCCATTTGATGGTATCCTGTTCCATTTCCTGATACTCCCTCTAAATTTCCTATACTCTAGTAAGCCTTATGCAACTTCTCATTCAAGTTACAGCAGCTTTATGAAAGCTACTTAGTAGCAATAGAGCTACTTCATAGCAACTCTTGTTGAGTTTTTACTGTATATCGGGTATTGGCACTGTGATAGCATTTGGCATATATTGTTGCTAATTCTCAACTACTCCCTTAGGTAAGTGTTATCCTCCTGATATTAAGTGACATCCCAGCAGTTATACAGCTAGTGAGTAGCAGATTTGGACTTTGAACCCAGATCTTCCTGACTTTAAGATCCTTGCCTCTTCCAGCTCCTCTTCATCTTCATCTTCTCTGACAGCTTAGTTATCCATAGTTGAATCAGCTAGCTTTGCTCCCATTCCCTCACGTAATCAGCTTAACAGAGTACCCGGAGCAAAGCTCCTTGAACATAAGGACTTTATCTCATCCTAGAGTATTTCCCTACCTAGAGCTTCATACAGTGTTGAGCCTATAGAAGGTGCTCAGATGCTGATATAAATTATAACATGATTTTTAATAGGAACAATCTTGGGCTTTTTGAAAATTCTGAAATCTTTTTTTTTTTTTTTTTGTACCAGGAATCAAACTCAGGACCTTGTACTTGCCAGGCAGGCACTATGCTACTGAGCTATGTCCCCAGCCCCAGAAAATTCTGAAACCTTTATATTATCCCCAAACCCAGTTGAAAATAAGTTTTGCTTTATTAATTTTTATTTGATATTATCTTTGTTAATAGAGAAATGTCATGAACTAAAATCAATCTTTCTTGTAGAAAGAAGAAAAATAAAAAGAATAGGGAATACAGGTTTCACTAAGAAGACATTAAAAAAAGAGGGCATTAGGTTGGGAAGATGATTCTCAGTCTCTCAGTCATGAGCATAAGGAAAAGATTCATTCTTTCCCCAGATAGGCTATTAGAAAAGGAAGTTTGGTTTGAATTTGTAAGCAGAAAAAGCCTTACAAATATCACAGGTAAGAATGCGAGGAAATCTTATCTACAAGGAAATGAGAAATGCCAAGTCATTATTTTGCAGAATGTGTGCACCATTTTGCTTTAAAAACTTACCTACTTGTTCACTTCTTATATAATGGTGAAGCTGTATCACTCAAAAGCCAGCCTGGACATATGTACTTGGGGCCATCTGGTGCTTACTAAAATTGCTAAAAGGTAGACTATACTGTTAAATCAACCCAGAGTGAGTGTGGTTTTCAATTTTTTTCTTTTTTTTTTTTTTTTTGGCTTTTTGGCTTTTTGAAACAGGGTCTCACTATGCAGTTCAGGCTGGACTTGAGCTCACTTTGTACCGTAGGTTGGTCTCGAACTTGCAAAGATCCTCCTGGTCAGCCTCCAAAGTGCTGGGATTACAGGCGTGCACCACCACACATGGCATTTTTTTGGTACCAGGAATCGAACTCAGGACCTTGCATTTGCCAGGCAGGTGCTTGTGCCACTGAGCTATATACCTGGCCTGTGGTTTTCAAATATTACTGTGGCCAAAATGTAGATTGCTAGTCCTTAAAGTAAGGTCAAGCGTTTGTTCAATTTGTAGTCTATTTTCCCACTGAACATTTTGATGAAAAAAATCTCTCCAAGGCTAACAACACATAAGTGCTGTCACTGCAGCCTCTTAATCCCAGATTGGAATTATGTTAAACCAAAATACTACTGTGGTCTAAGTAGCCCTCTGAAATGTCACAGCAGTTACTATGCGGTCCTAAGGGGCATAGGAGAAAACACCTGAAGTCACTAAGTTCTGTCCCTGCACCTCACCTCGTGCCTTTACCTGGGGTCGAGCACCAAAGCTTGAAGGTAAGATGCAGGAAGAACGACGAGCAACCCCCAACTGAGGAGTCCACTTGACTATTACCCAAAAGGTGTCTCTGTATCTGAAACCCCAGCTCTTCCCAAAATGATATCACTTATATTTTTCAGAATACCTAGCAAATGGTAAAACGAATATTTACCATTTAAAGTATTAGGGTAGCCAGGCAGGGTGGTGCATGCCTATAATCCCAGCACTCGGAAGGCTGAGGCAGGAGAATCATTGCGAGTTCAAGGCCAGCCTGGGCTACAAAATGAGCACAAGGCCAGCCTAAACTGCATAGTGAAACCCTGTTTCAGAAAGAGATAGATAGGTAATTAGGGTGAAAGCTCCCTGGTTAAGCATTATGTGCAAAGAGAATGGTAACTTCTATGTATGAGCTATGTACCAGCTTTGAAAGAAATGCGTGTGCTCCTAGCAATTCCTTTCCAACTCAACTATTTTCTCACACTCTGTGTTTCCAAGCAAGACTATGGTACAGACACTTTGGCCATAACATAACTGTGCTCAGCATAAACTATGAGGAGGCAAAGTTTATTTCTGAAGATTTGCAGAGTAATCTCCCTCTGTACAGTCCACATACTCACCATTGCAGTACTCATTCTGAATGATCACATAGTCATTTTCTGCCCAGGAGGAATAGTAGCGTACCACATGGGGGTGATGCCCAAGCACTGCATGAGCATAAACTTCACGTAAATGCAAATTTCTAAGAGACAGAAAAACAATGAAAAAAATTAAGATAGTATACATTTAAAAGTTCTTTAAAGATAAGTGGCATTAACAACGGCAGAACAAAACCCGAGAGTGGTGGTGCACACCTCTAATCCCAGCACCAAGAGGCTGAGGCATGAGGATTGCCATGATTTCAAGGCAAGCCAGGGCTACATAATAAGTTGAAGGCCAGCCTGACCTCCATAGCGAGAACTTGTCTCAAAAAATAAAATAAAATAAGATAAAATAAAATAAAGAGTGGCAGAACATTTATTGGTTGCTTATTACATGCTTACTACTTTGTAAGGTGTGATAAAAACTACAATGATTGTTTAAATTTTTTAAGTGTACTACAATAAAAGACATTGCCTAGAGAGCAGGACGCCTGGCTTCTGAATTGAATTAAGCCTTCCTTGTGGTAATGAGGAAAGCGCAGTGACCACCCGGCACAGAAGCTGCAGCAGGTTTAAACATGGGTGATATTAAGAAAGGCAAGATTTTTGCACAGAAGTGTGCCCAGCGCCACACTGTTAAGAAGGGAGGCAAGCGTAAGACCGGGCCAAAGCTCCATGGTCTCTGGGCGGAAGACAGGTCAGCCTGCTGGATTCTCTTACGCGGATACCAGTAAAAACAAAGGTATCACCTGGGGAGAGGATACAGGAGTATTTGGAGTATTTGATGGAGTATTTGATGGAGTATTTGGAGAATCCCAAGAAGTACAGCCCTGGAACAAAAATGATCTTCGCTGGCATCAAGAAGAAGGGAGAGAGGGCAGACTTAATTGCTTACCTCAAAAAGGCTACTAATGAGTAATAGTCCCTGCCTTATTTATTACAGAACAGAAATGTCTCATGTACCATAATTGAATAGATCTCATACACCACAATTGAGATCATGAGTGGCCTGATAGAATATTTTTGCTGGACAGTCCTGATTTAAGTAAAATTGGCATGTAGTTAAATGGATATCTTTTTTTCTCCAAGTTTTGATAGTAATTTCAGTTCAGTAAATACTATCATTGTTTTCCCTTTCTAAGTATATGGTTGGACTTGATTAGTAATGTTCGACTTTTCACAAAGACTGAGAATGTCATCTCAAAACTTACTGAAGGTTGGTTTTATATTTAGATTTATGTAATTGGTTCTATGAATATGCTCAAATATGGAGAAATCCCTCATTGTCTCAAAACCAAGCAAGACTCCCCTGTTTGTGCTTATGAGCCTGTTAAAGGGAGTGGTTGAAGACAAGAAAGCAACGTCTATATTTTTGGTCTTGACTATGCCAATTTAATTAGAATTCCCTGTATCTAAAAAAGTTCTGCCTTTTACTTACAGAAAGGCATTTTAGTGTGGTGTATGTATAATACCAAATAAAGAATATTTAATTAGAATTTAATTTAATTAGAATTTAATTAGAATTTCCTGTATCTAAAAAAAGTTCTCCCTTTTACTTATGGAAAGGCATGTTAGTGTGGTGTATGTATAATACCAAATATAGAATATTTAACATTTCTCACATTTTAGAGTTGATCTGTAAGTTCAGATCCTTTTTAAAGTTAGCATGATATAATAGCAAGTTAGATTTTACTTTGGAATTCTTTAGGTCAGACTGAGTTATTATTCAGGATAATATTTAAACAGCTGTTTAAAAACACAAGACTGAAACTACTGTTGTATGTGTGATTGGTAGTGGTGCTTCCTGTCAGCTCATTAGAAGGATTAAAGTGGGGAAGGTACAAGATGAGCACAAATTTGTATGTGCCCATGATACTTAATTAAAAGTAAATCAGAATGAAAAAAAAGACATTGACATTAATCCCCTCATAATACTCCCGCCAAATATGTTCATTTTGAACACATTTATTCCATCATGCTTGACACTTTCTGAAGCAGCTCTGGAGACCTAGAATAGCAGAAAAAATCCTATGTAACAAAAACAAAGGAGGTTTTGTGATCCCAGACTTCAAGTCACAGTACAAAACTATAGTAATAATTTTTAAAAAACCATCACCATATTGCAAGAACAACTCCATATTGCAAGATGCAACTCCAAGCACGTTCAGCTGCCTGATCTTAGATGATGGGACTAAAAACTTACGCAAGAGGAAAGACAGCCTCTGACAAATGGTGTGGGAAAACTGGCTATCCACATGGAGGAGACTGAATCTAGACTCACATCTCTCAGCATATACTAAACTAAGGTCAGGGGCTGGGGATTTAGCTCAGCGGCAAAAGCGCTTGCCTGGCATGCGCAAGGTCGTGAGTTCGGTTCCCGGTACCAGAGAAAAACGAAAAAAAAAAAAAAATAAATAAACTAAGGTCAAAATAGATTAAAGATCTATACGTAAAACAGGAGCATTAGTCTACTAGAAGATAAAATGGGTGATCTTGATGACATAGGTGATGGTGAGGACTTTCTGAGCGGAACCCCAACTGCACAGGAAATGGGACCAAGAACCAAGTGGGATTATAACAAGTTGAAAAGCTTCTGCACAGCAAAGGAAACAGTGAGGAGACAAGCTATGGAATGGAAAAAATTTTGCCAGCTATTCCTCGGACAGAGGACTAATACCTAGAATATATAAAGAACTTAAAGAACTTAGACCCATCCATAATAAAGGACTCAATCAAAAAAAGGGCAACTGAAATAAATAGATACTGCTCAGAAGAAATATAAATGGCCAAGAAAGACATGAGAAAACATTCAACATCTTTGCCCACCAGAAGAATGTGAGTGAAAACAACACTGAGGCTCCATCTTACTCCAGAAAGAATGACTATCTTCAAGAAATGAAATAAATGCTGGCGAGGCTGTAAGGAAAAAGGAACCCTTCTATATTGTTGTTGGGAATGTAAACTAGTACTACCATTTCGGAAGTCAGTATGGAAGTGCCTCCAAAAGCTAAAACTAGAACTTCCATTCAACCCACGTATTCCCATCCTAGGTATCCTCCCCAGAGTTAGAGACATATTACAGTGATATGTGTATACCCATGTTTATAGCAGCACAATCTACAATAGCTAAATATTGGAAATAGCCTTTATATCCATAAGTAGATGAAGAAAATGTGGTGTTTATATACAATGGAGTACTACTGTGTCTTAAAGAAGGATAAACTTGAGGCATTTGTAGCAAAGTGGATGCACCTTGAGACAATAGTATTGGATGAATTGGATCAGACACACAAGCTTGGGTAATACGTGGTTTATATGAAAATCTCAAAACATAAATAAGGAGAAAAATAATAGCTGGCTAATGGGGTAGTGGGAAATAGGGAGATGGCTCTTTTGCAGATGGGAGGGGGGGCCTAGAGATGGAGGGAGGGGAAGGGAGGGGAAGGAGATGAAAAAGAATTGTAGGGCCAGGGATACAGCTCTGTGGCACAGTGCCTGCCTAGTAAGCACAAGGTCCTGAACGCTATTCCCAGTACCAAAAAAAAAAAAGTGTTGTGTGGGTATACCAGCTCCCCACAAGGAATATGATGGTTGTGTACTGCAGACATGAGTAATAAAAAATAAAAACTGAAGGAAAAAAAAGGCAAGAACAGTGGGATAATTGTGTTTGAAACGGGGGACTATTTTGAAGACAATAACTACGTGCCTTTTACTGCGATAAATCTGCAATTTAAACGTTCACCATGTTTATCACACCTCGTATCATGTTTAACATTTATATCTGGTTGGTAAGATACAACAGATAGGATGGAATCTCTAGAAAGTAAATGAAAAACATACATACATACATACATACATAAATAAATAAATAAATTTAAAGAATGGGAAAATAAAAGACAAGTACATGACCGGCCCAAAGCCAAACTAGCAGTGGTAGACCAAAGAGCAGCTGCATTCCAGAGTCCTGTTGTCTTTTACTGAGCATAGCATGTGGTTTTTTTTTTTAAGTCTTCATTAACAGAGCCTCATGTTTCATGTCACTGTATTACAACATAAAAGCCTTAATGGGTTTAGTAAGAAGGCCACCACAGCGCTGGATTGTGGCTACTGTAAGGAGCCTCTGTCTCCTCTAGGAAGGCCAATCATTAGCATCAGTGTTAAACTCAGCCAGTATCATAGAGTCACAGGCACAGCCTTGAGGAAGGATATTCGTTATACAATAGGAAAGCCTAACACAAGCAAAACACAGTGCTCAGTTTCAGTATAAAGAGGAAGAGTTCTAAAGCCTGTCATTTTGGATCCAACACGGTATTACATCCACAGACTTGGTAAAACCTGAAAATTTGTTTTCCTTGAGATCAAGGAAGAATTTTGGAACCATTACTTCTGGGAATTCTGGGAATAAAAGGTAAACTTTTGTTAATAGTTTTCTTTGCCTATAGTTGCTGACATGACTGCTGAACTCATTACTAATACGAAGTATTAGAAGCCAGTAAATTAACAATAACTTCCCACCTGGCAATAATTGCTGATGAACTTGTTACAGGCAGCTGAGTTAGAGAAAAATACTATAGGCAGTCAGATGGGGCCAGGCCTTTGAAGAGCCAACATGAAAGACAAGATAAGATACCTGTGGGCCAGACCTCAAGACAAAAGGACTGAACAAATGCACCCACATACCTCCCTAGGTGCGAACATCAGGGATTGATTTTCTAAATAGGTAGCAGCCACCTTCAAAAAGCCAGAAAGAGTCACTAGCTCACCCCCCTACAGTAAAATCCCCTGTTCGGTATTCATACCAGCTTGCTACATGACTCTCTTCCCCATTTGATCCCTGTTTACTCAATTTTACCTAAACAATTATACTTGTAATCTTATTGTTTAACCATAGTTTTGTCCCACCTCATGCCAACCTTGTAATTTCCCATTTCCCCCGCCATCTTGGACCCACCTCGCCTCGTGATTTTGTTCTATAAAAGTCCCTAGAAAAGACAGAGTCTTGGGCAACCCACTCGGGGTCCCCTTCTGTCCCTGTCTCGGACAGAAGCTTTCTTTCCCTCAATAAATATATTCTGCTCTTAGGCTCCATTGTTCCTAAAATTCATTCTTCGATTTTAGAGAACACGAACTCTGAACTCGTCCCAGATATCGTTCAGGTTGGGAGTTTTTATTTTCCTGTATCAAACTGAACAGATACCAGATCATCATTCCATAAATCTTTCCATTAAAAAAGAGACCAAAGCTTTGTGCAGTGGCAGTATCGTAGCCAATGAGGTTTAGCCAAGGCGCGATTATTGCTAATTGAAAAAGAGACCAGTAGTAGAAAGCAAAAGCTAAGAGATCCACAAAAAAATACAACAGGATCTGTAATTATCATAGTCTACTTTTGGAAACAACATCGCTGCTCTGAAAACTCAAAAAGGTCATGAATGAGAAATGACAGACAATAGGGGGATGACTTAAAAAACAACAAAAAAGCAGCAAATGAGTGGTATCAGTGCTGTTGAACTATTTTGACATGAAACAGCTCTCTGAATCCAAGTCATACTGGCCGTACACGTCAAAGGTACTCACTCGTTTGATAATGCCGCCAGAGGTTTTGTAGAGCGCTTTATTGCATAAACACATCCATCCAGCCTCTTAATACACTTGTAGACAACACCAAATTCCCCAACTCCAATTCTTTCTAGCTCCAAGAATTCCTTTTCATAGCGGTAAGCCATGTTAGTTTCTCGTATAACACTTTTCTAAAATATTTTAATAAAAAAGAGAATAATTATTCCTCACCTTGTAAGCAATAAAATGGAACCGTATTACATTTCTAAATTGCTTTATGTTTTCCAGAAAAAAACCTTCTGAGCCAAATTAATAGGTTCTATTTATGTCAGTATTTACAGTAGTAAGAACCACCCCACACCAATTTCTATCTTTTCTGTCTTCTCTATGTTCTTTTTAACCTTCCACACAATTCTTTACTTACCTTCTTCACTTTTTAAAAAATATTATCTCCTCCATCAGGTCATTCTATTCTATTCTACTGTATTACTCCTATTCTATTCTATTCTATTCTGTTCTAATGTGTTCCTTCAGGGAAGGTATCTTCTCACACCCAGAACTACTGTCCTGGACTGAAGGAATAGCAAGAATTCTGGGAAATATTTGAAACAAAATAAAACAAGTCCTTCCATTTGACTCTCTTCTCTACCTTTCTCAAGTTCTGGATGCTGACACTTACATTTCAAGTTGAATAACTATCTTGTTCCAATTTGTTTTCAAAAAAAACCTTGGTCTAGAGAACAAAATTGTCAGATTAATTCAGAAGACGGTGTATGCTCAGGTAGAGCAAATGCTCCCCCTACTGGAAAACTAGCAACATCACTTTTTCCCAGGTAGTTAAACCCAGGCAAATCATTGCACACCTTAATCAATTTTTCTGTCTAGGGCTGGGGCTATGGTTCAGTGGCATAGTGCCTGCCTGGCAAGCACAAGGTCCTAAGTTTGATTCCTGGTACCACTAAAAAACAAATCACCTAATTTTTCTGTCTAAAGTGAAGATTATAGTGATTATTCCAGAAGGTACTTTTCAATATTATATGAGGATATACAATATTTGGCCGGGCGTGGTGATACACGCCTGTAACCCCAGCACTCAGGAGGCTGAGGCAGGAGGATCGTTGTGAGTTTGAGGCCAGCCTGGGCTACAAAGAGAGCTCAAGGCCAGACTGAACTGCACAGCAAGACCATGTCTCAAAAAGAAAAAAAAGAGATATATATATATGTGTGTGTATATATATATATAAAATATTCTGTTATACATATGATATGCAATATATACCTTAGTATAAATTCCAAGACCATAGAAAATGTTTAATAAAATTATTATGATAAAAAATCTCCATAAGGCTGGGCATAGTGCTGCATGCTTATAATCCCAGCACTCAGGAGGCTGAGGCAGGAGTATCACTGTGAGTTTGAGGCCACGCTGGGCTAAAGTAAGTTCAAGGCCAGCCTGAACTGCATGGTGAAACTTTGTCTTAAAAAGACAAAAAAAAAAAAACCAACCTCCATAAATCACTGTAAATCTAAAATTCAATTTGTCTCCCAAGTAATCTTTTCTCAGTGTCCAAATTACCAATAATTTTTCCCTAACTTTAGCAGTTTAAAAAATCTTGACTCTTATTAGCTCATTTTTAGCATCCAGTTGTAGTCATTTTTATCAGCAAGATCTATAATTCCCAGTGTCCTTAGCCAATCTCAAGCTGGGCTCTTCTGTCTAGACTTGCTGTGCTGTTAACCCTCTTTCCAACTCCTTCTAGTCAAGAATTGTTTCTGCAAAATGGTTTTCCATGATAAGTTCAAACTTTTAACAATTAGAAGAAAAGGTAAACATTGTTTCCATCGTCAAAAGACATCTAAACACTAGCAGTTATAACACCATCTAACTTTCTTTGATTAACTGGCAATACATAGTTGTGATCATTCAGCATATAACATTTTGAGTCTTTTATATACTGGACATTAAACAAGGGCATATTTTCCTATATTACAAACATCTTAATGGAAATTTAATTTTCTACTGATATAAAACTAATTAACCCACCGGGCATGGTGGTGCACGCCTGTAATCCCAGCACTCAGAGGCTGAGGCAGGAGGGTTGTTGTGAGTTCGAGACCTGCCTGGGCAACAGAGTGAGCTCAAGGCCACTCATAGCAAGACCGTGTCTCAGAAAGACAAAACAAAACAAAACAAAATCCCAAAACTAATTAACCATTCTATTATTGGATATTTAGTGCCCCTATTGTTTTGCTATTACAATTAAGATATACCAGATATTTCTAGGAATAATATTTACAGTACAGTTTTCTTAGATTACCAGATGAAGGATGCTCTATCAAAGTTTGCAGACATCATAAAAAATGAATACATTTAAGAGTTAAAATTTTACATCTACAGCTCTGAATCTATGCCATTTTTCTCCATTCTATTTTTCCATTTGGGAACCAAAAATCTTCATTTTCCAATCACTTCTCTGTCCCATAAGAGTAAAAATTTTCCCTGGATCAAAAAATGAAAGCAAAAAACCTTTAATTAAAAATACTCTAGGTAATAGTTTAGCCATATACACATCACACATCACCCGGTTAAGAATATAAACCCTGAGCTAGAGCCCAGACAAATTCAGTTGCGATGCATATTGGTGAAGCTGTAAAGTGTGTGGGGGTAGACAAGAAAGAGAACACCCTGAGAAAGGAGGAAGATGAGGAGCAAAGAAGGGAGAAAGCATTAGGAGAGGAAAGACAGAAGGCGGAGCGTGAGGATACAGGAGGAGAGATGGAGGTGGGAATAAGGAGATGCAGGAGAGAGAATAAGATAAAACGCCTATGTTGTCACAGTTGTACCAAAGAACCATGCTTACCTTGGCAGGAAACCCTCGTAATTCGCCTTGCTCTGCACCAGCTTCCTCACTAAGAAAAAAAAAAGTATCTATGCATGATTATGATTAACAGACTTGTTAAGCCTCGTACTATGCTAAGTTCTGGGACTGTCACAGCAAGTAAGAAAATTCCTTCCCCTCTTTGCTTTCAACGTGGGGGCAGAGATAACCAGGGAACGTCAATGGAAGGATGTAAGACAGGAAAAGAACAAGACATCAAAGGATACCATGGACAGTGCCCAGCAATGTAATTATTCCAAGAGAGAACCGCTTTCCCAGCGGAGAAGATATGGAAGTTAAGATTCCAAGGATGAGTGAGACCTCGGTAAGGAAAAGGCATGGGAGTCTTAGGCAAGTAGAACACCGTGTTCTCAGAACTGGAAGTAACTAGGGGCACAGAGGACCCATTAACATGTAAGTGGTTATTATTATCCCCCACTGAGCTAACCAAGGCAGAGAGAGGTCGGATGACTCTAGGTTATACCCTATGTGACAGCACTGGGATTTGAAACCAAGTCTGACCCCAAAGCCACCTGCTCTTCACTGCCACAGCATTCTTTCCAACACTCACCTCTCCCAGAACCTGGCTTCTCGGGTTGGTTCACAGGTAGACTTACGTACTGTACAAATTAAGTACAGACATGGCTAAGAGGTCTTCAATTGCTTTCCAATAAACAGAAGTCACCAACAAACATGCTCTTGTATGAGTGGCTGTGTTCTGTTTGTTTGTTTTGATTTTTTTCCAGTACCTGGAATTGAACTCATGACCTCGCACTTGCCAGGTAGGCACTGTGCCGCTGAGCTAAATCCCCAGCCCTGTGGCTGTGTTCTGGATCTTTAGGCAAGGTTTCAATTTATAGGTCAGCCAACTAGATTTCTCTTTTAAAGTACAAGGTAGAAACTGGGGGACACTACATTCATAGAAATGAACTGATGAAAATTTGTGCCCTAAATTTATTTATTTATTTCTTTATTTATTGGTATGAGAATTGAACTCAGGACCTGATGCTTGTCAGGTAGGTGCTGTGCCACCGAGCTACATCCCTGGCCCTCTGCCCTACATGTAACACCAGCTTCTGATACTTTATAAAATGACAATACCACAATAAATAAGGGAGAGAAATACTGTCTCCAAAGCTGTGAGTGGTTACTACAATAACACCACTTTTGTTTCCAGGAATCAAATCTTTACCTGCTCGCTTCAGAGGGAGCCACTGATTCTAATGATTTTTAAAGATTCAAGAATTAACTAGGCATGGTGGCGCACACCTATAATTCCAGCACTTGGAGGCTGAGGCAGGAGGATCACTGTGAGTTTGAGGCCAGCCTCAGCTACAAAGTGAGTTCAAGGCCAGCCTGAAATGCATAGTGAGACCCTGTCTAAGTAAGACCAAAAAATAAGAATTAAATCCAGTAGAATTCTTGGTATCCAAAGTATACTGGGTATACTTGTGCTGAACTCCTGTTTACTTAAGATTCAAGAGACAGTGTTAAGAAAAAAACCAAAAAAAAAAAAAAAAAAAAAACAAAACCTACTTTTGTCTCAAGGCTCAATAATAGTTATTGATTCCAAAGGAAAAATTCAACATGAGAGGTTAAATTCTCTGGAGAGTTGTGATTGCTGCTGTGCATTTGCTGAGCATATGTGAACACAAATGATTGCCCCATTTTAGAGGTGCTTCCATCCTGTAAAAAGGAAACATCAGGAACAAATACCCCTGAGCAACCTGTGCAGTCCTTATTCAGATGGTTTCTACAATTTTTTTTTTTTTTTTTTTTTTTTTTTGGTACTAGGAATCAAACTCAGGACCTTGCTCTTGCCAGGCAGGCACTTATGCCACTGAGCTATATCCCCAGCCCTTGGTTTCTCCATTCTGTGGCCTTTGTGAAGAGGGCAGTTTGGCTTTCCATTTTTTAGCACCTTTGAAAATGCAACTCTTGGAGCTGGGGATTTAGCTCAGCGGCACAGCGCCTGCCTGGCAAGCACAAGGTCTTGAGTTCTATTCCTGGCACTGGGAAAAACAAAAAACAAAAAAAAAGAAAGAAAATGCAGCTGTCTTTTTCTCTGCAGCCTTTCACCACCTGCAGAGAAGTTCAAATGCTTTGTCTATAGCTCCCGTCAGCGGCTGCTCAAGCTAGACTCAGAGCAGCCACATACTATTGGAAATGGGAACTACACCTTCCCCAAGTGCTGGCCTCCTGTTAACCAGAGGAGACTCCTGGAATGCAGGCCTGAACCCACCCAACTTTCTAATGGAAGTCAGAGAGCTGATGCTCACTCCACCCTGCTGCCTTATCAAGAAGCCAGCTGCAGTGCACATGAGGGTGGAACCATGCCAGAATCTCTGGACCACATTAGCCCAGGGAGGGGGGAATATATAAACATATTTCAGTTTTACTTAGACAGTTATTGTTTCTAATCTTTAATGCCCTCTTCCTACTCCTTGACCATAGGAGTTCTCAAAAGTTAGAGACAAACTGCGCACTTACGTATCTCCTGGGGTTTTCCTCTTGCCCATTGATTGAAGGAATAATTTCTTATAGGACTCAGGGGTGAAAGGATTAACCTTGACGAGAGACAGTGAGGTGGCCTCATCCATGAAGGGAGGAGGTGTGAGCCACAAGGGCTTAGCACTTCGGGGAAGGACCTTCCCTGTTGAAGAAATCACCAGCTGGCTCAGCAGACTCTAAGCATGACAAAGGCAAGTTAGAATAGAGTTAGCAAGAAAAAACGTTCCGTATCAGCAAGTTAATATTTGAGCCAAAGAACATTACTGCTAAAGGGGGCATTAAACATGATCTGATTCTGTGGAAACTAGTTGAGTTGTAACTGGTGCTCTTATGGAACCCAGCCTCTAAATACAGTATTGTCTTGTTTGCTAGAGACGGGGTCTCACTGTAGCCCAGCTAGGCTCAAACTAATGGTGAACCTCCTGCCTCAGCCTCCCAAGTGCTGGGATTGTAGGCATGCACCACTACATCTGGCTACGGTCTCTAAATATTCCGATGCATGAAGTCAGCACAGGAATCTGTACTTCTGTTAATCTCTATCCCTTTGCCTGGGCAACTGTGCTGGCTAGCTATGAAATTCACCAATTCTCATCCTACTTCCAAGTTTTAAAAAATGAGGACATTTAAACAAAATCCTTTGTTTAAACAGAAAACACTGTATATAAAAAAAAAACACCTTGTCTTTATGTTCCCATAGTTAATACTTTAACTTCCCTTCAGTTATTCATCCAAATATCTATTTGGTGCCTACTAAGTAGCAGTTACTGTGACAGATATTGAGGGGTACAAATGAATTGTAGCTCTTAAGGAAAACAGTCCATTAACCAGCAGTTTAGTCTCTGAAATAAGCATTTTTATAAAGGAAAGATTTCATGGTCTATCTAAACGTGAAAAGAGAGGCTCCCAATTTCACTTCAAATATAGCACTTAAAATATTTCACTTAAAATATAGCATAGATCTCCATGAAGTAGAGTAAAGAGATTGAAAAATAGTACTCAAAAGCAATGTCTTAAGATTTGAGGATTCTGAGCCGGGTGTGGTGGTGCACAGGAAGCTGAGGCAGGAGGATCATTGTGAGTTTGAGACCAGCCTGGGCTACAAAGTGAGGTCAAGGCCAGCCTGAACTGCATAGCAAGATGCAAGACCCTATCTCAAAAAGACAAAAAAAAAAAAAAAATTGATGGCTCTGCAGTCATTGCAACCAGCTAAATGTGTGTACGTGGTACCGGAAGAGGGCATAAGCCTAACCCTAACTAAACCTAACCCATAGTGCAACGCGAAAGGTCAGTGAGAAAGAATTCTAAGGCAGCACTGAGTGTCAGGGGCCAGAGGAATAGCCTTGCTGTAGGTCTGACAAGTACACAGTAGCATACTGGTGCTGTTTTGGAACTTCAAGGTGCAAGCATTGTACCGTGAGGCTCTTTATAAAAGAATTCTGACAATCTCTGCCCTGACCCTTCAATATAAAAGCAGAAGCCAGACTACAATATGACTCATTAAGAATATGAGTCTACAAATAGTGGACTCATAAATCTTCAATAAATGATTGATGTAAACAGAAACATAAGAAGTCACCAAGTGCACACAGTAATATGCCTTTTTTTTTAAGTGAAGAAAAATATGTTAGGCTGGGGATGTAGCTCAGGGATAGAGTGCTTGCCTAACGTGTGCGAGAGTTCTGCACACATCTTACAGTTTGTAGAGTGAATAATCTTGAGGGATTTGGTCAAAGCCCTCACTGACAAACTCAGGAGTTTTCAGTAAGCTTATCGGAGGACGGCTTGTTGGTTCAGAATGACACTATACGATGTTTTCTGTTATCAATGTGACTTGGAAAGTGAACTTCGAATGATAGCAGATTGTTCCCTGAGAAATGACTTTTTGTGATGCTCTCATGTAGGGAGTAAAACACATCTGTGACATGAAGTGATGAGCACCCACACCTGGAAGGCTGCACAGAGCCAGGGAAGACAACATCAGAATTTCTCGTCTGGAAATACGAAACCAGTAGAATCTGGGAGCTCCTCCTGCGATTTGGGGAAGGCTGGAAGCCCATGAAAAGGAGGTCTGCATGGAGAAGGCAGCTTGGATTCTGAAGATGACAGAGGTTGAGAAAAGAAACGTGCTGTAAGGCGTATCATAAATCCCCCAGTCACCACTCTGTACAGATGACTGAAAGGGACCAGCGAGTGTGGGGGTAGCTCCTTGACGGCTGAAAATGATAAAGCAGCAGTCACACAAAACATGTTATAGGCACACGCCTGTAATCCCAGCACTTGGGAGGCTGAGGCCGGAGGATCGTTGCAAGTTCGAGACCAGCCTGGGCTACAAACTGAGCTCAAGGCCAGCCTGAACTGCACAGTGAGACCTTATGTCAAAAAGATTAAAAAAAAAAAAAAAATTAGAGTATGGAGCTGGGAACAACTTTAAGGTCCAGCTGGTACCATAAGTGCCCCGGAGCTTCATTCTCTTTACAATGTTCCAGTCACTGGTGGTCAGCTAGCGTTCAGTGCATTTAGCCACATGTACCTTGCCCTCTCTGTAGAATGCCATCTATCTGTAAGTAACTCTGCGAGGGGTCCCTTATGGAGAACTGAAGTTGATTCCACGTGATCTCCGGTTCTGCCTCTTGGGCAAGGCTGAACCAAAACACCCCTTCTTTTCCTGTGCATCCTTGTCCTCAGCATAACACCGATTAGCAGCACTCTCCCTTCTCTCCTCTTCCCCTCCTCAAAACTCTATTTTCATAAAATATGAACTTTCTCACTTGCATTTCCAGCTTCTTTTGCTAGCTCTAATCTCTGCCTATGTTTTGAATTTTGGCATTAGCCAAGATTTCTAACTTGCACATTTCTTTTCTTACTCAGCACATAATTATGTGACCTTGTCCCCAAACATGGCTTACGCAGTTTACTCAATGCCATAGCTATTCAAATATGGATCTCTGACTTCAGTTCATTTCCTATACCCCGGACTCTTTTTTTTTTTTTTTCTTGAGACTGGGTCTTACTGTGTAGTTCAGGCTGGCCTTGAACTGACCATGTAGTCTAGGTTGGCCTCAAACTTACAATGATCCTCCTGCCTCAGCCTCCCAAGTGTTAGGATTACATGTGTGCCACAACACCCAGTGACCCTGAACTCATTTACCCAACTGTTTACACCCCATGCTTTTCTCCAAACCTACACATCCTCTTGTGTTTCTTAGCTTGATTCAAAGTAACCTCTAGCTCTTCAGCCAATCAAGAACCTCCTCAGTTATCCCTCCCGGTCCCTCACGCTCTCCATCAAGTCAGTTATAATTCTTGAGCCTCTCTCACCTCCACTCTCCACTCCTGCCCTAGTTCAGACCCTTGTCTGTTTCAACAGAGCTATTGTAAACACTGCTTAGCCTCCGAACTCTATTCCGGCCCAGTCCATCTCAAACATGAAGACCATGATTTTTCTCAAAGCTCAATGGCTCTTTCAGTTCTCTCAGGAAAAAATCCTTTCAGGAAATCTCTTGGCCTAGCTCTTGCCTGCCTGCTCTGGCCTCACTTTCTACCTCTCATACACAGACCCGTTGCACCAAATGAGATGCATTTTTCCAAGTACAGCATGCTCTTTACTCTCCATAACTGGGAAAATACTTTTCCCTTTGCCTTCAGTTCTCATTCTCATTTGTTCATTTAGGAGCAGTTTCTAACGGCAGTACAGAAGCTGGGCGTGGTGGTGCTGCCTGTCATCTCAGCACTCAGGAGGCTGAGGCAAGAGGATCACTGCGAGTTCAAGGCCAGCCTGAACTACATAGTGGGATGCTGTCTCGAAGGAAGGAAGGAAGGAAGGAAAGAAGGAAGGAAGGAAGGTCCCCAAATTACAAACAAGTTCCACTCTGGGAGACAGTTCATAAGTCAGATAAGTCAGATTCATTCATAATCCAACAAAGTAAGTCTTTACAGTACACCTGTGAAAATTTGCAACTTGCATATTCATAAGCTGGGGACTTCCTATAAATGGGTTTGCCGGGGTCTGCTAACACACCAAGGCATTTATTTAAACTGTGAATAACTAAATGAAATACGCATACCATGCCACATTGTCTTGCTTACGTAATCTCTTTTTTGTTTGTTTGTTTTTTGGTTTTTTTTTCTCCGGTACCGGGAACCAAACTTACGACCTTGCGCTTGCCAGGCAGGCGCTTTTGCCGCTGAGCTAAATCCCCAGCCCCTTGCTTACGTAATCTCATTAGAACCACATTCTCAACCCATTCTCCACCACATATTAAAACTCTACCAATTGACATTGCTCTTCCTTTCCTTTATTATCCCACTGAAAATAAATCTGCTCAGAGAACTCTGACCATTCTTGAAGGGCTTATCACAGTGTGTTGGGTCAACCCCCACCCAAGTTGTAAACTCTTTCAGGGACAGAGATATTATACTCCTTACCCATAGTGGAGTCTCAAAAAAAAAAAAAAAATTGGTGATAGATTGGTTGGTATTGGGACCTTTGAGAAATCCACTGCTGGCCACCTGAGCATATTAATTTGTTAACAGTTCAGACAAGAAGCTTAGTATTTCCTGCTAACTATTAACAACCACTGTGTATTTTCCATGTTCAATTTTTAAAGAAATATCAACAAGTTACTTCTTTGTGCACATTTACTCAAAGAGTCTGTTCTCCACTAGCAAAGTGGGGAGGGAAGAGTTCCAGCTGGAGAGAACAGCGGTGAAGGTGAGCATTCTTGTATTGGGAAACATTAGTGACTACCCTAAAATACAGTCTACTGGCATAACGAAAAGAATAGATTAAACTCAGAATATCAGGTGTCTAGTCCTGTCTCTGCCACTGGCAGAGCAATGAGCCAGCTTATTGCCTGACTTTCTCATATAGAAAGAGCACAGGTAGGCTGGACATCTTAGTATTTTTTCCCGTCCCAGTGTTCTTTCTTTCTTTCCTTCTTTATTTTTTGTGGCACTGGGAATTGAACTCAGGACCTTGTGCTTGCCGGGCAGGCACTTGTGCCACTGAGCTATATCCCTAGTCCTCTAATATTCTTGAACTAGAAACTTTAACCTACCCAAACATTTATCTGTGACAACACTAAATAGTTACTAGCACCAGTGGTTTCCAGAAATTATTTTCTGATAACTTTAAACTTTCCTTCATGTCTATCAATAAACATGTAACTGAGGGTACACATGCAATACACATGCAAACGACTGAGTATTCTTCTTCAGCTGAGCTAAAGCAAAACAGAAGTGGGTGACCTGGGGACCCCATCCCGTGGCCTGCTTACTTTGGGAGTGGAAGGGATGCCATCCTGCTGCAGGCTGCTCTTATGGGCAGTGTGTGCTGCTGTCTCAGGACACTTGAGAGGGTCTGACCGTGGAGTCTGTGGAACTGGAACTGGACATCCCTTGTCTTCCTCCTGAGATGTGCTGAGTTCAGGTGTGCTCTTCAAGGGAGTCCTGGGAACCTCTGCATCTCTAGTCTCACCCCTCTCGGGACTTTGTGGAGTCTTCACATAGTGAGCCTTGCCCTTCTTGCAGCTTTGATGTGGGGTCTCCGTATCTTGAGCCTCCTCCTTCTTGGGGCGTGGGCTTGAGGTATTCACACGCTGAACCTCAGTTGTGGGGCTTTGGCGCGGGACCTCCTTGTTCTCTTGTGTTGTCACCTGCTCTTCATTCTCAGACTCTTCTTCACAAAAGGAAAAGTTTAATTTCTGCTTTGGCTCTACGTCACCCATCTCAGGGAAGGTGACGTAATGTAGGCAAGGAGAGCTCTCAGAAGGAAGCGATGAATGCACAGACAAGAGAAGAACTGAAAGCAAGAGTCCCACAACTTCACCTTGCCTTTCTCTCTGCCAGCTGACAGCTGCATGGCAGGCTGTTAATTTCTCCCTTAAATACCACAAATCAGTAAGCTCTCAGCTTATCCTTATTTCCATTCTGATTAAAGAAAGCGCCAGCAACTTGCAGAGCAAAATCCATTCACGCAGGGTCTCCCTGCACCCACGTGCTGCAAAAACGCCAGTGAGGAGATTGAATTCCTTTAAGTTAGTTTGGATTTTAAAATACCCATTGGCCACTATGGGAACAAACTCATTGAAAAGAAGTTACCTGTACTGTGCTCCACCCACCATGTATAAATACCACCCTCCCCCTCCCTCCCATTCTCTACCCACCCAATGGCAATGGCAGGTCATGTGAATTGAGCACCACCTGGCTACCGTAATGATCCTTAAACAACCCTAACATCCTGGCTGGAATTCATATCCCTGATGAGGACACGCCCTTAGGCCTTTGCTGTATACATCTGCCTTACTTCAGGAATCCTCACTCCCTATTTGCAGTTAAGGCTTTTGGAGAATTGAACCAAAAATGTTTTTGCGTGTGTTTTGTTTTGTTTAGTTTTGTTTTGAAACAGGGTCTCGCTCTGTGGTTTAAGCTGTCCCAGAACTCACAGCAATCCTCCTTCCTCAGCCTCCCAAGTACTGAGATTACAGGTATGCGCCACCATGCCCAGCAAAACTTGAACAAAATTTTAAACTGACAAAAGAAAGGATAAAAAAATCAGCAAGGCACAGAGTTAGATGTTAGCACTCTAAAATGGTAATTGCTTTTGCCCAAAAATGCCTGATTTAAAATTCTTTTCCTCCCAGGCTTCGTGGCGTATGCCGTTAATCCCAGCACTTGGGAGCCTGAGGCAGGCGGATCATTGCGGATTCAAGACCAGCCTGGGCTACAAAGTGAGCTCAAGGCCAGCCTGAACTGCGTAGCAAGACCCTGTCTCCAAAAGACAAAAAAAAAATTCCTGTAATTTTAAGTAGCTTTAATATACATTACTTAGTTTCTTTCTCAGAGGGCCCTATGGGAAAAGGTAAAAGAAAATTCTGAAATAAAAAACTAAAGTACAAATGATTCAACAATGTTTTTCGTTATTCTCCCAAAGGAAATGAAACCGGTATCTCAGAGAGACGTGTGTACCCATATTCACCACACATCTATTTACCATGGCTAGGATAGGGAACAACTCAGTGTTCACCAATGGATGAATAGATTTCTTTAAATGTGATGCACAGGTGTAAAGAAATATTATTCAGCCACAAACAGGAGGCCATCCCGCCTTTTTACAACATGGATGAAGTGGAGGGCAGTATGCTAAGGGAAACAAGTCAGACACAGAAAGACCAATATTGCCTGATCTCACCAGTGATGTCAAACCTAAGTCAAACTCATAGAAACAGAGAATATTCGAGACCAGCCTGGGCTACAAAGTGAGCTCAAGGCCAACCTGAACTGCATAGCGAGACCCTGTCTCAAAAAAACAAAACAAAAAAAAGAATAGAATGGTGGATGCCAGGGGCTATTGGTCAAAGGATACAAACTTTCCATTGTAAGATAAATATAATTTTATAGGAGAAAGCCATGTAAAGCCATGTAAAAGGCAGTCTGTGAAAAAGGATCTAGAAGGACTGGCAGGAGAAATTATTTACCTGTCAATCAGAGAGACCGAGGAACCAAGGCAGCTTGCGGAGCTTGAAACAAATATTTTTTCTTTTTCTCGGAAGTCTCTGGTGTCCCCAAGCTTGTCACCATTTTCTGTCTCTTCATGGCCCCTGTACCACTTTCTCCTCGCCTGTTCCTTTCCAATCAGAGCTCTGAAAGGGGCAGCCCAAATGAGACTGACTGGGAAGAGACCGCTTTCTTGTGTTTTTTTGTTTGTTTGTTTTTGTTTCTTCAGCTAAAATTCTTTTCACGCTCCACCTTTGTAAGTGGACACACCTTATGAGCCCTCCTTGACCTTTCTTTCCCCTTCCCACCCATACAAACTGTCCCAGATAATTTTTTTTATTAGCACGCGTTTGCAGTGCATGCAGTTTACCATCATCTTGGCCAGTGGTTACAGGTACGTAACACAGTTTGATTCTCTTTTTTTTTTTTTTTTTTGGTTTTTCTCCGGTACCGGGAACCGAACTCACGACCTTGCGCATGCCAGGC